TATCAAATCACTACGCGTATAAACTTTGCATTCGAGTTTCACGATTCACCGCGTCAGCTTCCATAGTCTGTTGAGCAAATATTATACGCTTGAGTTTAAACGGTTTTAATATGCTAGTATACATATATAGAATCATTTATATGTGTGTGTGTGTGTAATATATTATATAATAGTTTATACGTTTTTGAAATATTATCGTAATATTTCGTAAGCAACTTTTCTTCGTTTGGCTATAATATTATATTTAATAGWCTAATTTTTACCACGTATACATCATTTCTACATATTTATAAAATGATTATGCATTAAATAACTGCGTATAGTATAATAGCATTAATAACATCAGTACCTATGTATATTTTATTTACTATCRTGTATTCGTRTCTGAACGTGGATTATATAATGAATCTTTTAATTAATTAATTACTAGGTATTTAATATAATATTATCCACGTTGCGTAGTGGTGCTGTCATGGAGTCATTTCATTTCACAACGGCGGTATATTATTTAACATGAAGGATAATTATTTTCAAATATTAATTCTATCGTTTTTCTACATATTGTATAGATCATTTTTAATAATTTATTTAGTATAGATAATGATAATATATAAATATTCTTTTTATCGGCCTTGATTCCAGTAACCATGCCAATTAGCTATTTTAGGGGTTATGGTAGATGTTATTACGGTTGGAAAGTTGAAAATACGTGTATATGTCATCAGCGTAGCTATCATCGGGCAAAGCAGGGCAGTGCCTTGGGGCCCCTAGAGCTTAGGGGCCCTCAGAGCACTTGGTAAGTTTTAAAATACATCCGTAAAATAATTGMAATAAAATTGAAAAAAGGTTGTAATAGGACCAAATTTTTCGCTCCAGTTTCTCAATGTTTACCATCTAACTTTTCCTGAATTAACTGAGACGTGTAATGTTTAACATAGTTATGTAAGGATATAATAACCAAATTTGGAATGATGGAACGTGATATAACAAAAGTGTTCATGGCAATTTTACTATTTTATACCATTCCTGTAACTTCAGCAGGAGCTGAAAGATCCTTCAGCAAACTAAAAATAATCAAAAATTATCTTAGAAATAGTACCGGACAGGATCGACTCAAATATTTWTCATTGATTGCAGTTGAAAAAAAGGCAGCTTCAAAATTGGATTTAAGTGAAGTGATAGATCAATTTGCTAATATTAAAGCTCGTAAAAGATTATAAATTTGATTTGATAGCCTTTATTTTATTTTATGTGATTAGATAGAATTAATAAATTAATAATGATAAAGTTTTAATATTTAAAATTTGTTTTAGTAATTAAATGGGTTTCCTTTTTATTTTGAATATCAATTTATTATCTGTTTATTATTTTCATTAATGGTTTTATAGAGGTATTTATATTTTAAACAACAATATAACGTAAGTATGTGGTTTTTCCTATTATATAGAATTAAAGAGCCTAATTTATTAATTGCCCCGGGGCCCATTCCCATCTTGTTACGCCACTGGTATATGTGGMAAAGTTTTTGCCACTTAGAACTCGGGTGATCACCCATCCGGGAACTAGTGGTAGCGGGCAGTACGTACTGTCAATCACGTCACGTGACTGATTGCAGCAATCTTGCCACGCCAAATCACTATGCTTATAAATTGTGATATTATGTTACTATATCATATAATTTGGTATCTAATACCTAATATTTAATGTAGGTAGTTTATTATAATAGATGTAAGTCATAAAGGGACTTATACGAATTATATTTTATAWTTAAAACCACATAGTTGATTGTATTATTTCTCAAAACGTTAAATATTTGTWTATATTTTATTTATGATTAAATATTTACTAACCATCTATTATAATATTATGTTTTGAAACCATACAACTAAACATAGTGTTATCTATTAAACGAGTTGAAGAGCGTATATCATGAATGTGCYATTGAATAAATATTTTTCACGTTCGTTTGCGTTTAAAAACGACAAACGTCGAACACACGCAAACATAATAACATATCAAATATTATAATATGTGTATGGGTAGGTACTTAATACTTATATACTTTATAGCTACCCGCGAACCTAGCTGGGATTCAATCACCTWTTATTTTGGAAACGATTTATCACCAATTAGGTATACGTTTTTACGTTTACTCAACAAAATCATAACATCAAAGTTGTATACTGTCTATGATTCGTTTTTTTTTTTTATTGAATTTGCAACAAACGGTGTACACTYAGTAATTATTATTTCAAAATCAACTATTTATTTTAATCATATTACATTATAAATGCATCATTGTGACGAAGGTGGGCCATTTAAAAGACTTATAATCTTAAAAATGGTGAATTTTATTGAATATATTTTTTTTTWAATTATTTTAAGTTGTTAGAAAACAACATTATCCAAAAAATTATATTTTCAAAATTTCATATTATCAAGTTATTTACATTTTTAATAATTTATTACAGAGCAAAATTTTTTTGGAATATTTTGATTTATAAAACTGAAATTTTGGAAGAGTGGAAATTAAGTTATAAGTGTTGAAAGTTGAATGAAGTGGAGTGGTACAGACGGTACAGTGTTACCCTGAAAAAGTGGATCACTACTACTTCATACTATTTGTTCGAAATTTAGTTTTTATGGATTGAAATATTTCAAATACTAAATTTTTCAAAAWAAAMGGAATTTGTGTTGTCATTTARAAGAGTATATAAATTAAATACAATAAGATAAAAAAAATATTAAAAATATAATAAATTTAATATACCTAGGTAAAATAAATATCAAGAATGTTGGTGTTTTTTGAAATTACGAGTGTCTTATACTCTGGTCATAATATGCCTAATGCCCATATATTATTATGGTTAATATTACATTTTAATTATTAATATTATACATTCAAAATCTCTGATATAAATTTTACTGATATAATAATGTGATTGTGAACACGACAAAGGGAGTTTTTTCGATATTTCATTTACTTCGTTGTCAAAATTCTCGTCCTTGGAAACTAAAACTATTAAACAGATTGTATATTTTTTCAATAGACCCATACTCGTCTGATGAAAAAAATACGGAAACAGCTGGTCAAGTCTGTGTTTATAATAATGAGGCACATAATATAAAAATGTCATCAACATCCGATGTCTTATTATACTATTTATAAAAGCATCGTCTTTTCCGCCTGCCATCTCATAAATTTAATATAAATTATAGTAGGCACGTCGGCTCGGGTATTAAGTATTATAATAATATAATAATAACACATAAACGGCTTGAATAGTCATCAATTCAATTGAATGAAAACGAATTCGATTATCGTCTTCGCCGTCGTCAACGACTTTGTGTATATAAAGTCGAAACAGGCGTCAAGGACCCTATTCGTCGTTGATCGAATTGCRAACCCAACCGATTTAAGTAGGGARGAGGTGGAGTGAGAGGCATTAATACGATATTTTATTAAAACTGCTGCAGCTGATCGACCAGGGGACGATTGCGAGATTTAAAAAAAAAAATATGTTTACTCTGCACCGGTCTACCAAAGATAATGCAAACGTCAGCATTTGTATTATCAAAAATATAATATAATATAATATTATTATTGTCATATTCACCGCTGTATGACTTACGAGTATAGATATGCCTTTCATATTAATATTAGKTATATTGCATATTCTACAGTCGACTAATCGACATTCAATAAGTGTTATTCGTTTTGAACTTCCTGAGAAGGTTTTAAACGAACATTAAACAGCCGTACAAACAAACCGTTCAAATATATATATATGCGTTTAGAATAGGGAAAAAACTTTTTATAAAAATTGCGCAGAATAGGCTGACTGGAGGCGGGCCGCGGGGAGCGTTGACCCGGCCCTCCGATCAACTTTTAACCGGCCAATTTATTTTCAGTTAATCATTATCAGTACAATTTAAGCTTCTTCTCGAATATGAAGAAATAGTTACGTGTTCAAATGTCAACTCGGTAGAATCATAGACGGGCTATGGAATTTTAAAKWGATAGATTTTTGTCTATTACCAATAAAAAAAGGTAGCAAATACTGAGAATGAATTTAATTATTATACACACGTGTGTATCTATACAATATTATGTTATTCGTATTTAGAATTTAGAATATCGTTTATTTATTTTGAAAGACAAGCATTCAGGGTTTTTACGGATTAATTGTAGGATGTGGGTGGTTCGAACTCTAAAGACCACACTCCATCTTGCAGATAACACTCGAGGATACGAAATACGTTTTAACACGAAAATGGTACTATTATATCCGATAACAGTAATATTTTAAGTCCAAAGTCCTAACAACATAAATATATGAAAATGGAATATCGGGCGATGAGTATTTTAAATAATATTTTATAATTCTCGAATAGGACGATAATAATAATTCAACAATATTATATTTCGAGGCACAGCGGCGGGGTGAGCGTGTTTTCATCAAAAGTTTAGGGCCGCGAGCGCACCCGGGTGCACGTGTATCGAAAAAACCTATATAAGGTAATTGGGTGGTGTCGGTGGTGGTGGCGTATGTGAATGAGCGCGTGAGAAGTATAGGTGTGAGAGGGAGGGTCAGAGGGTTGGTGGTTTAAGGCGAGGCGAGGCGTCACAAGGTGGCGGCGGCGGCGGCGGTGGAGGTCGCGAGCGAATATTACGCGAGTGTGTAGGTGGGTGACGTAGACGGGGTCTCGCAGACGGCGCGGACGGAAGACCGGGTGTCGGGCGGCCCGTGCCGAATCAATACGGCGCGCGCGGCGTACAACTATGCGCGACCGCCGCCAACCCCGCCACCACGTGCCGGACCACCGCCGCCGCAAAGCTTATGAAAGTGAYGGTGCGCGCCAAGCGGAATACCCGGGCGGCAGCGGTATGGGGCGTCCCGTCGCCCAGCTGCCGGAGCGCGCAAACAACCCTGGAGAAAGCTCTCCGGGACCGTGGCGCGCACGGACAATCGCGCTCGCGGACGGACGGTCGCTCGCGCACACACACACTCACACACCTATACTCCCGCACATGTAATAATACGCACGCGCGTGCCAACACGCTTTTTCCTATTTTTCCGGTCCTTTTTATTCCACATCTACTGTCGCTGCTCCGCGGCGGCGTCTCTTTATCGGCCGCTCGGGCGCGCGCGGTCTCTCTCGTACTCTCTCGTACCAAATTAGTCTCGCTCTCTCACTCTGCATCGTCCGCAAAGCGCACGGCGCGCGCGTCGCACTCTGCACCACGTATAGGTACGTTGTGTACGTGTGTATACGCGAGCCCGGCTCCGCGGACATATCCCGGCTAAACTCGTCCGCCGCACTGTTAAACAGGTATATTTATATTGATGTTGTTGTTGTTATACGCATTTGACAAGCCGAAAAATAGCAGCGTAGATTTACCGCGTGTCGCGTTTTAGTGATATCGCGAACGTTTTCCTTCGACCGACTAACCCGGCCGACTACGACCCTCGGGAACGTCGGAAGTGGAAAAGGCGGCGGTCGGGCCAACCTCCCCCCCCCTCCACACAAAACTTGTACACGCAACTACGACGACCGCGACGACGACCGCGGCGAAGACGTTACCGTATATGGTACTCTGGCGACGGCCGTGCCAGATCGGTGGTTGGCCCGCGGGACGACCGCGACGACGCGCCGACAGCACCACAATCACCGTCCGTACCTGCCACGATGACGTGTGGTGGCCGGCGGTTATCACCGTCGTATTACCGACACCACCGACGCCGGTGCCGGCACACCGGCGACCCTCAGCACAATCGCCGTGGTCTGAACCACCAACACGATCACCGCAACCATCACCACTATCACCACAACTACTACCGTCACCACCACCACCGTCATCATCACCACCATCACCATCATCATCACCGCCRACACGACCGCCACGGGCGCGACCCATCCCGGCTGCGGGCCGCCGTGGCCACCGATAGCCGCGCCCGACTACCGTACCCGGCCGCTGACCCATTGCCCGCAATGAAGCACGTGCCCGCTGCCACGCGCCGGCAAAATTATTCTTCTTCGTCATCGGCAGCTGCTGTCCGCCGTATGTCCGCGTGGCTGGTGGCCTGCGTCGCTTTCTGGGCTCCATCGACACCCTGCACAAACGCCGCGTGAGTATACCGTTTTTTGTTGTTCTGTGTTCCTCAAAACTTAGACTTTGCACATCGTTTATGAACCAAGTCAAAAACTAACTAAAATATCACAAAAAGAAAATTTGCGAGTGAAAATTGCAACGGTAGAGCGGGGGGGGGGGCACTTTGGAAATGAGTAATTTTGACTGTTCTGAATCGTTTGTGCACCAATTATTGTTTGTGTATAAACACTTTCCGAGATATCACAAAAACARAATGAGGATGACGAAATATGTTGTAGGTTTAGGGCCTTGTGGACGATACTTTTCGCACTTAAAAAATGGACCTGTGCAGTGGTGGTGTATATATTCTACATAGTGACACTCGCGTTAAGCAGAATGCTTTTTCGGGGAGATCCGTCTTATTCGAGCAGCCCACTCGCTTTCGAGGGACTCGGGGGAACATACAGATAATAATATRATAACAATAATAATATAATAAACGTTATTAACAGCCACTATTTAAACGACGCCACCAYTGTCGCGTCCTCGAGACGTAGAGAGCTCGTTCGAGTTGGTGTATATATATATATATAGATGTTAATAGTGAGGGTATGTCCTCGAAACGCGTTCCGCACACAATTCCCGGGTCTCGAGTGTAACGTACCACTACACATAAAAATATTATTATTATTGTATATTCCAGGAGACCTCCTCGTTATGGAGTGATAGCTAGGCCTACACAATAAACAGGAGACGTATTTTTAGGTGGGAACGCGATTTTTCTACAAAGATGAGATATTTACTGTTTTCATTTTATTTAATTTTTTTCTAAACACAAAGTATTAATTTTTTTCGCACATTTTTTTTTTATTAGGCAGTATTATTGTTAAGTCTATTTTTATTCAAAATAAATCAAAACTATAATATAATCATGTTTTAATTCTTAAAATCGTGTATATCATAATTCGTTTTACATACGAAATTGTGACACCAAATAGTCGAACTCTAAGTCACCGATTCTATAATTTAGAAWAAAGGACAAGATTAGGTACCTGTAAAGTATGATMATTTATAATTTCACATACCTAAGTTATAAGTTCATAGTCGTATCTTAGAGCTCAAAATGTATTATATCTAATAAAAATTAATATTYCACCACATTTTATCGCGATAATTTGTAATATTCATTCCTACAAAAAATAATAGGTATTCAAATGAATTATAGAAGATGGTAATTTCGTATTTTGGTAATGGTGAAAAATTAACGGGGGAAGAAAATAGTCTATATTTGTTTATTTTTTTTTTTGAGAGAGAGAGAGAGAGAGACCGAACACATGTAGATCACACCATCTAATTTTTGAAGCAAAGTGGCCACGGATCTCGTGTTATACCACTTTTTTGGTTAGGATAATAGGATAGGTAAGGTTTAAGCAGTGTTCGGCATCGATATTCAAAAATAGTACTTATATATATATTCTAGCAAACATCTAGTGTAGGTATTACACATTTTTTGTTGTCCGGTACGTAGGTATTTCGTTTCGTATACAAGTGGAACTCAAACGGGTGCGCGCGCGTCCCCCTTCGCTCCTGTAATAATATTGTGTGTTATTGACACGCTCATCGTGGCATTTAGACGATTACGGTTTTCGCAGCTGAGGTRTAGCTATATCATMAAATGTAGGCACCCGGATTTTTTCTTTTCCTGTAGAAATATTCGACTGTCGCTTAAAAATATTTTGATTGTCGTTATTGTTTCGATTTCCATTTTTCAATCCATCTGTTTGTCTTAATAGCGTGTAGCGTAGTAGATACTTAAGATTTGGAAGCATTTAAATTGTATTATTAATCATGTCACCGTCACTAGTATTGTRTATTCAGATAAATAAACACATTATACATATATTATGAATCGATCGATGGATATTTATTTCAATTTTCATTTCACTCGTTTTTTTTTTTTTCTATACAAACAAAAGACTTTTTTGCCTTCTCAGCAAAATGTATTTGTATTATTTTGTCGTAGAAAATACTGGATTAAATAAATATTATTTATGTTATGTTATATGTGCATATATTATACCGTTTGTTTTTTAATTTAAAAACTCTCAATATATCGGTTGGATTGTATTGGGCGGGATAGACACTTTTTTGACATGCTATGGAGAATCTTACCACACGTCTATTGAATCATTTAATATTATAAATTCCACWGTTGGCGACCACACTGCTGTACAATTTTTATTTTTAAAAATATTATATTTGGGAATAGGTCTTCTTTTTAWAGTAATTRTAACTAAACATAAAGATCTAAACACAAAATCCGCTGAACTAGACCTATTTAAAGATTAATCTTTACTGCATTTTCTTTTTAAATTGATTAAGATGTTAAAAATCTAACAATTCGTACTATATTATTATACTACTACTATAATAATATAGTAATATCCAATAAAAAGAAAAGAAATTCTTTAAAACAAATTAAAAGAATGGTTTTTAATAATTTAATACATAAGGAGATATATTATTAAAATTATTGATACTATGGCTTTAAATTGTACAATATAAAAAATTGATCACTCACGGACAATAAACGTATATTATGTTTAAGTGATTTTTGCAGACACTCCTTTAACTCGAAGTTGGCTGGTTTTTAAGTTAATATTATTCACATTTAACAAAATCATGTATCTATCTGACGAATATTATAGTAGTTAATGAGAATAATAAATAAATTAATAAAAATAATTAAATTGTAATCATTTATTATCAAAAATGTAAATTAATTTATATTAAGACAATATTTGTAAATAATACTTAAAATATTTGACTGCAAAAAAAATAGTTTATTATAATACAATTCTATAATATAATGTCACTTTTATCAATAATTAATTCCATAAATAATAAAATTAAAATAAAATTAATTTAGACACCACGACTTAGCAAAAATAAAAATAATTATTTAACTTTGGACGTTGTGCAATGGAGTTTTTGCTAATAATATTATAATAATATTATTATAATATTATTAGCAAAAACTATTATAATAATATTATTATTTTATGTTAATAAGACAGTAAAAAAAATCGAGGGATACATGCGAATTATATGCGTCAATCTAATTTGGGTCCGGCCCTATTGAAATCCTCAATATGATGACAAAAATTTAATTTTTGCTTAACTCTCCCACTAGTTACACCTGCATTGCAGATTTCAAAGTATTCGTTTAAATTTTTTTCTGTTAAAAAAAAAAAAAAATTATAAGTCTGCTATTATAGAGATCCACAATTAATATCAAAATTGAAAATATTTAATATTTTTTCAGTTTACCTAAACCGGAAAAAAACCATTATTTCGCGTTTCTTATAATATAAAATCGTTTAGAAGTGGTTGCTAAAAAATGTATTGTATGCGATGGCAGATGAGTATTAATAACATCTAATATTTCCATTGAAATAAATAATCATAATATCTGAAATAAAGACTTATTTTTTATTCCTCATTATTTCCAAAACCATGTATCATATTTATCTTAAAATATTGTACTATCTTTATCCGAGAGAAATAAAATGAATATTGTAGAAATTTTTTTTAATTATAAATGCATAAATATGTATATCTATAACCATTCTATTTAGGTATAATTTTATTCTTTTTATTTTTGTCATGTATTAATTATGTGTAGAAAAATACGTAAGTCTTTTAGTTTTTATTATTCATAATAAAATTAGAATATAATTTAATAATATAAAAAAAATATATATATATATATATATATCATCGAGAATAATTCTCATATATTTTTGACAGTTAAGATCCGTCGCTCGTTCGTTATAATAATATTATCGCTATATTCACGTACCTGTGTACTACGTAATATATATTATGAAATATTCGATCGGAAAAGTCATCGAACACTACGCCTACGCGCGCTGCATTCACACTATACGTCTATACCACGTTCAAAGTAGAATGTCAGAKCCAGCAACAATGTTTTAACACTAAACTGTCGATCGACGGTCTTATTCCCGTCATTTCCCATCATTTTCAAAACACTTATATACACATACATGTACACACACACAAACACAATATGTATACGTGGACTCTCTATTTGAGTGTGGACTTTTCGAGTGTTTTTGCGCATGACGTAATGCTGTTTATTTATTTTTCGAACCGGAGAAATAATATCATCAGAATACTATATGTACATTGTTGTACAATGTTACGTATGCGTGTGTRTGAATCGGTTTTTCGCCTTCGCATACAATATTATATAATATTATTGTTTATATACACTTCGTGTAAATATCGACGAGAAACCGACGAGTACGTAAAAAGTTTTAACTTTCGAGCAACATGTGTTCTATAGCCGCGAAAATCTTCCGATACATAAAACCACGCAAAATGTGTTACAATATTGAATATAACATGCAATATTATACGACATCGTATACGCATAATGTTATTATTATTAGTAGGTTACGCGACGCGCGTTTGTTATAGATATAGATTCATCTAAAGTCTGCGAACTCATTTCTACCCTTCCGAAACCACACAGTGCACTTATTATATTATTTCGACGACTGCTGTAAAGAGCCAAAAGTTGAAGGTGCATAGTTTTTCTCAAACCCGTCGTTTTATTATCGTCCGGGGACGAGGTGGCCGAGCTGGTCTAACACGTCGGCAGTGGCTCAGCCGGACCGGGTTCGATCCTCGACCATCGGGCGACATTTTTCTCTGAGCAAGTCACGGTGTCCGGAGAACAAGTGCCGCCATACCCCTCTCCGGGGCATGGCAGAAACCTACGGGTGCCCCAATAGAAATTCTGCCAAATAGGTGTCTGAACTAAGCCTTCGTGCCTACTCCCGAGCATAGCGCCATACAAAAAAAAAAATATCTATCGTCCGTTGGGTGAATTGGTCATGATTTTATTATTCGGCCAAATATCACAACTTCTAATTATAGTTTAGCTCAATATTTTATTTTGATACCTATATATCTATATATCTTATTTCAACACTAGCACAATACATCACAATGTCTAACGAGCCATTAACACGACGTATATTTAAAGTTATTATTAAAAGTTAATTATAACTACCTTAAACTCTTTCTTCATAGTAACACCTACGTAACTATGTTTGCTTGCGTTATTATAATAGTAATTGAAAAAYAAAATTCAATGATACATTGAAAGCGCTTGAACCCTTATGGATAGCTACTATGGTTACCAAGATATAAACAATCACATCATCAACAATGGAACGTCATCCAATAAGAAATTTCATCTTAATGGATGATTTTTTTCTTCATAGATTTGAATTAAACCTTTGCTGTTATTATATGATTATGAACAAACCTATAGAAACTTAAAGGGATTGAATAAAAAACTAAACTTACTTTTYGGTTACACGAAATCTAATGCTATAACTTATATTAAAATCGTACCTGAAGTTAGTCATTAGTAACTAAACTCTATTATATCAYATTAATATATAATATGTATACGTGCCTATATAGATATATAATATTGTTATTGACTTATGAGCGATACCAAATTACGCCTAACTTTTTCTTTTTGATTCCACAAAAAATGAGGAATTTTAAACTATATTTTTAAGCTTATTTAACTAGCATATTTAGATAATTAAAACAAAAAAAAATTAAAAATCTTAAATATTTATAAACTATACTTAAAATTATTCCTATGGAATAAAAATATTTAACCATAAAATATTATWGAAAATGATAATACATATTAATATTTTGGTRAAAATTTCAAGTACGCAGTTATTTTTTTTTTTAAATTACAAAATAGAAAAAGAAATAGAGATCAAAAACTTGTTTTGTACAAAAATTCCCATTTTCTTTAATTTGGTTTTGTTTATTTCCAATATTATAAAAAAGCACTACGAGTATGAATTTTTAATTTTGTTCACCAAAAAGTAACAAGATTCATTTTTCTACCAGAAAATTTATTGAATGGAAATGCAGTTTACTAAAAAGTGTCTTCAGAATTATAGGTACGACACATACATAATTACCCTGCTTGACTAAGAAACTAAAATCATGATACTTTATTTAAGATTTCCGGGGAACTCTTTTTTTTCTGAGATTTGAGTTTATCTTTTCAAATATTTCCTTGAAGTATACTTTTTATTTGATAATACGAAGTGCAATACAGAGTAAAATACACAATAATATTAGAAATTTCTAGTAATTAAAAATCAACGCATTTAGTTTAAACATTGTTAATAAGGCGTAAGTACCTCACTATTATATAACATTAGTATTTAAAGTATAATCTAAGTTTGTTAGTTAATAAATTTGAATGCTTGTACCTAAAAAATCTTTGAAATCGTCTGAAGAGTGCTCAACCGGATAATGCTCGAAAAAACTTACGGTTTAATGTATAGAGCAATAAACCGCTGCTGCAGTTTACCGAGAGATAATTCTTTGGACTGATTAATCGCCGCTCTTATCGTCGTCAGCTTATAACGTTTAATTGATTTTTCTTGTTCCCCGCTTTGTTTTTTGGATAAAATATAGTTTTATTTTTTATTATTGTAATTTCATGCGTTCAATCTTATTCAGTGTATTTTTTGCTATTCTTTTTCCTCAATCGTTGGATAACTTTTGTGGTTGTGAATTAATCTTTCAAGTTGCTACAATTTGTCTGTAATCTTATCATCATCGGGGGAGGGGGGATATTATCAGTATAACCAGACATAACAGCATAAAATTATAAAACATGTAGTGAATAGTTTCTGAAGCAAAGAAGACAGTGCGTGTTAAAATTATAGAATAATATTAATTGCTTCGATTTGAATTGCATTCGATTATAGGTACGTATCATATCATTATAGTATAACGTGTAGGCTTTAATGTTTGGTGTGCATAATACATCACAATAATAATAGATTYRTTTATATATTGTTAAAACATTTTATTTAAACCATTGATTGTATAGTACGTAATCAATTAATCACATGCAGTAAATATATATCACTTTTAATCAACTTTGATTTCCCACCGGATTGATGATATTTAATAACAATATGATGGTAAATACATCATGCTATGGTTGTAACAGTTATTCAATAATGATAACAACAATCTTAGGTATAATATTATATTATTATTGTAGTGACGGACGAGTGGTTTAAATTCTAGATAAAAATATATCACGTCTTTCATAAATCTATCAAAGCGTGTTACACGAACTTTTCCATTATCCGATTCCCATACTGCATTGAGTACATCTAATATGGATACAATATAAAATGTATCGGCTGACTCCCCGCATGGCCTTACCAATCTTGGCAAAATCTCAAAAAAGAAAAAGAAAAGAAAAATCCGTGTGCAGTAAACTCTGATTCGTTATCTTGAATTTTGTTCCGTTGTCCTAACTATTACGGCGTGTGCGATACTGCATGGACATTGGATGTCGATTGCCCGACCAATATAACAATAGTAGCTGCTCCATATTATTATAACAGAGAGATTATTTCAACGGTAAATAAATATCATCTTGGGAAGTATCAAACTTGGTTTGACATTTTTTCAAAAAATAATATTTTTCTTTTGAATATTAAATTAAATACGTTCGCCATTGAAACGACTAAGAAAGTTAAAAAATTATAACGATAAGAAGAAATTGAAAAAAAAATTATGAGATTTTAATACGTTTAAAAACATATTAATAGTTAATAGACTATTAATAATAGTATTTAGTTAATACTATTGGATTTAAAATATCAACCTATATACTTTTAAAGGACTTGATACTGATATTTATTGTCTCAGTCTGACAAATGCATAACATAGTAAATTTTCGCTAAGCATATCGCACATAGTTTCATCTGTTTAAAAATTAGAAAGAATTGATTTCTTATGAAGTTTGATGATATGAAMATTATTTATGCTTGTATGAGGATTTTTTTTAAATAATTCAGTTCTTAAATGAGTTATGAGCATTATTTTATACAAGACTTACAAACAACATTGAATAGCTATTAGCTACATCCTACATGTGATCTGCTGAGCGTATATGTTACTCACTTGTAAGATAGAGACAACATAATATTATGCCAGTGATACGTTCTCTTAATACTCATCGCACTAATAAGTGTTATAGAAGCTATTAATAATTTAATTATTTAGTATACATAATATAATGTATTGTTAAAATTAAAAATAGTGCACGAATGATATTATGATGTTATAATAATATTACCTATGTTAAATATTACAAATTATCATGTCATATTTTTAAACAAAACTGTATTGAAACGCGTGCCGATGAGTCTAGACGAACTTTGTTTCAAACACACTTTGTGTTGACAGTTCTATACACACACACGCGTGTCATTTCCCGGAAAACACGCATCGCGTATCGATACCCTAAGATAATATACAGTTAGATACCGAGAAAGTAATAACTGCTCGGGAAAGTAAATATTTGTTGGACATATTATGATGACGTGTCGGTGAAACATTATTTCAACCCATCCGTGTCGGACCTCTCAATTTTAAAAAGGTCTCACCCACACGACGGCAGTATCTTATTCTTACAACAAATACAAACAGAAGAATCCCGTACTATTATGTTTATTTTGAGGAATTAATTACCTAGCCACTTATCGAAACATTGATTTAGAGCAACTACAAAAAATATATTTATTCCATTCATCTCTATTGTGCAGTCGTTAACCTTATCTAATTTCACTTTTAATCAACTYAATAATATATTTATTTTCTAACTGAAGGTAGTAGTTAATCTGTTATTAAACAGTAATATAGTAATACAGTAATAGTCACAGTAATATTATGTATGATTCTTATATGCAAATTTTCCGTCAGATGTTGGATACACGAATATTTGGGATGTGATTGCATCATATTTTTCATTCCTACTATAAACTGTATTTCTATCAAATGGATAAAGTATTTAATAATACATTGAGAATAGACTCACTGTATTGTACACCTACATTGTGTAGGTACATACTATTTGAAATTTTTGCTTCTTCTGCCTTCATCATGATATATTAATTTTTTTTTTAAATAAATTATATCTAACAACAACTAACATACTACCAAAAGRCAAAAATATAAATTAGTATGTAGATATATCATATAATATTTCCTAAACTATTTTAATTGTTCTTATGATATAATAATGCAACAAAAAAAAAAAATTAAATATTACATGAATATAAATTATGCGTATACTTGCAACTTACAGTCATTAAATGTCAACGTTATTCGTTTCGTGTATTTTACAATAATATGTTGTAAATGTGGTTGATACAATATATTTTACATGCTATAGCGTAACATAAATATTTTATAATACACTAGACCACACTGAATACGATTTTCGTGTGMGATACCAAATGATAATCTCGCACGATGGTCATTTTCATGAACAAACACACTGTGACGATTTTATCGATTTGTTTCAGCAGTAGTATGTACGGAGACGTGAACATATCGGCCATACTCGATTCATTCAGCGGTAGTTACGACAAAAGAGTAAGACCGAATTACGGAGGTGAGTTGATGATTTTTTATTATATAATATAAATATACATAAAATAATAACTATATATTACTATAATTTGTTATTATCATAACAACATGTACTTCGTATATTATTTTTTATAATTATAAAAAAATCATCAATATTTTTATACAAAAATTAGTGTTGTAATAATTATTTGTACAACAATCGTGTGAAATTCTCAACTCTGGTGTTATACATTGTTACATCATAAAATAATATAGGCACGGCATTGTGATATGCAAGAGCATTATCATTATTAATAGGTGTTGTGTTTTATATTTAACGTAGAATATTATATAAAAATATACATGAATACAATATTTTCTCATCTATATAATTGAACGACAGATGTATTATTCTACAAGAGGTGAATTTCTTTTTTAACTGAAGGTATTATGTAGTCTTCACGGTAAATCAGTTCACTACATTTTTTAATATACATAATATCTATGTTAGTACCCATATCCTCATCTTTAATTWAAAAAAAAAAAACACACCAACACAGAACTAATCATTTCGATGAAAATCTCATAATGAATTGACATATTCAACAATTTTTATTCATGGGAATGTAATAGGAAAATATTATATTTTGATTTAGCTGGTTAGATATTATGTATGTAAGGATACAAACTTGATAAAATATTTCGGTATGAATAGTAAAAATGAGAAATTGTTTGCCTAAATGTAGTTGTGTTACAATGATAGAATTATTACAGTTATTATAAACATATTATGAGAATCAATTACTATAATATTCATTATGCAAAATTTGTTTTTCTTAAACTCGAAATAAAACTGCTGAATACACGTGTGTCTATAAATACGTCAAAATTAAATAATTTTC